GATGTAATTAACTATAGGGGCTTGCCCTTATAGGAAGTAATTCCCGAACCCAGCATAATATAAACCCTATTTAATTCCTTATATTGAATAGGGGAATTTGTCGGCCAATCATTGGTTTCGCAGACCAAACGGATGTCATAACTTTCTTTAGTTTATTTGATCGAGTCTCACCCTCAATTCTTGTGTTCATCCTTCGGGATAGATACAGGATTTGAGGTAAAACGCTCTTTCATTTAAACTATGAAAATTATGGGGTCAGTTTGACTTCATCTTTTTCAAAACTAAATTTTTTTTTTAAAAAAAAAACGTCCTTCCGAAGCGGGCAACGGGATTTCAATTCCGATGACCGACAGCTTCTTACGGGCAAACCCCACACAAAAAATAGTGCCGACAAGTTTGTTTTGACAGTTTTACATACACACAACTCAACTCTTTTGAATTTACACGTCTTAACATTTGAAATTTAATTTTTTGAACTTGCCACATTTCCAATAAATTAATGTTATGTTGCATTTCCTATAATAGTATTCAACATCTCAAATTTTACTTTTACGATTTCCATGAATCCCTCTCCCTTGCTGTGTGCATGTGTGTGAGTGTCCAACTCCCTTTTATGTGATTGAGAAATGAGTAAATTTTACTTCTATGAATACATGAATCTTTAGTTTTATCTCCCCTATATGATTGAATTAAGAAGGTTGATGGATTTGCAAATAATAATTTTTGGGTGGTCTATATGTGTCGAATGAGTGAAGGGATTTAATTGGTGCTAAAATATCCAAGGGATAGAGATTGCAGTTTTGCTGAAAACGTTTCAACTTTTGCGTATCAGATTCTTCGTTTACCTAAAAAAATTTGCAAAACGGGTGTTTTCAAAACACACAAATCAAACAACTAAACAACTTATCCAAAACAGGGACAAACTAGTCATTTATGCAGAATCGACTGTTTTTCAAACGCACAAACCAAACAGTCAGACAGTTTATCTTGATCAGCTGTTGATCAACGGCTTGTCAGTATAAACAACTTATTTGGATAAGCTGAAAAAGCTGCAGCTGCCCCAAACAGACCCTTAACGTGCTCTTCTTTTGTCTCTTTCCTTCTTTACATTCAATTTTTTTAGTGTATCTCCCCTGTAATTCTGAATTCAACACAATATATTACAAATTACATGAGATTAATACATTACAAAAGAATCATAATATTTTTTTCATATACAATTGTAATACTTATGATGTCACACCGTAGGTTTCTTTCAGACTTTACAAAAAAACAATCCAAAACATCTAAAATTGCAAAATTTTTAATGACATCCGTACATGAAAAAAGAGTTTCAGTTACAATACAGTTTTAAAAGTTAAAAAAGGAAACCCACTAATATTGAGATTACAAGGAAGTTCACAAATTTCCCATCTAAAACTTCCGCATCTTTGCAATCTTCCCCTTCCAGCATCGAGATCTTTCCTTATCAGAGTCTTCGACACCTTTAAATATCCATTGAAGAGCCCCTCAGAAGTCTTCTTCGTTTTGGTTTCGCGGCGGAAAGGCGAAAAAGGCGGCGGCGGCAGCGGCCGCAGAGCCGGTGAGTATCGGAATCCATGTCTGACAATGCATCAGCCCTGGGCTTCTCTCTTGATCCACGGCATCAAGCGAATCGAAGGTCGATCATGGCGTCCTCCAATCACAGGTGCGTTCGCTTTGCTTGCTCTATTATTTTCTCTCTTACCGAGGAGGAATTTAGGTTTTCTAATTAAAATTGGATTGGTTGTTAAAAATTCTTCCTTTTTTTGTAAAAATTTTCTTCTGAAGGTCGGCTGTGGATTCACGCGGCCTCCAAAGTTCCAGAGCCGGAAACAATCACAGCAATGGAGACCTTCTACAGGGAAATATACGCTCTGGATGGGATCACTGATATAAAGTTTCCAGAGCACTATCCTGTTTCTCGTCTTTTAGGTAGGCACTCATTTATGCTCTTTTCTTTTTAATGTAAAATTCTATTTTTGAATCTAATATAGTATGTATTGTTTATTGAGAGATTTTCACCAGTAGGGATATGTTTTTCTCAGCCATGATTAGAACTGAAACTTGCTTCTTTTCTCATAATTTTGATATATTGGATTCTGTAAAAAACTTGTCTTGCTCTTCAAAATCACAAACTTATATAAATTACCATTAGCAAGCTTCAAGCTTTATAATCCTTGCTTTGGACTGACAAAGGCTCTTTTTTATTAATGACTTAAGTGTATTTAAATCATTATTAACATTTAAAATAAACATGGCATTGATGCATCCTCTTTTGTTGTTTAGCAATTGCAGTTATTTCCCCTTATGTAACAATTTTCTTGGAGATGGAAATTAAAATTTAACATTTTGTTATTTAAACTTACTAATAGAAGATGCAATATGCAGCCTTGCCTGAATGATTGTTGAAATTGGGCTGATTTTCTTGCTTCGTTTAAATCAATTGAGACCTCTTTTCGAAGCATCAACTAAATTCTTAACATTTAAGTTCATCATTTTATTTGAACTTCTAAGCTTGTGTTGATTCGTTCGTTGTGCTTTGAGCTTATTTGGTCTTTGAATTTGTTGATAAATAAAGAAGTTATTAGTTTATAATGCTTGGTTTATGTGCTCCCTTTGCGACTCTTTCTCATGTTCTAATATCTTTTTGGGGCATTTGCATACTTACCGCCCAATTCCTATGTATTTACATATCTAACGCCTAAACTTTACTTTTTACATTATACCACCCAAATCTTTCATTTCATATAAAAAATATCATTATTTTAACTTATAAGAACTGAAACACGCCTTCTCATGCATAGGTAACGCGGCATATATGCAAAAAAATGAAGTTTAGGTGTTAGATATGAAAATACATAGGAATTGAGTGGTTTGTATGTAAATCTTCCTTTCTTTTTTAAGTAGAATATCTTATCAAATGACTGAACAGTTTACTTACATAAAGGAAAAGGGAAGACGCCACAAGCTAGCAAATTTATAATATTACTGCTAGAGAGAAAAGCTTCCTTGCTTTAATCTCTACTAGATATTACCTCTATTATAGAACTTTGTAAATCATTTGTTTCAGGTTTAATCCATACAGGAGATTACAATTATGCTATTCAGTACCACAAATTTGATAAATTTCATTTATACTAGACATTAGTGCCTATAAGTATGAACATTACAATTTCGCATTATACACTTAATAACGCTCTTATAACCATAATTGTTTGAGATATAATGTATCAGGAAAGTGATGATTTATATGGTACCGAATTTATAATTATAATTATGATGATGTTGGGAATGGTATATTGGTATTGTATTACTAAAGCTTACTATATGTAATATCTTTTGCTTTATTGAGAGAGCAATAATTTGTTCTTGCATTATATTTAGCAGGGCGATTTCTTTATAAAATGGAAATAAAGAAATTTTAGTTTATGATATTAAACTATTGATTTTTTTTTCTTGTTTCTTTTTTTGTTGCTCTGGAAGTTTTGGTACAGTTTTATCAGTAATTACATGATTTTAAGCGTTTGTCACTATGGTATGGTTCTTGTATCACACCTTATGCTGACAATTTTGCATAATTGAAATTAGAAAATTTTTTAATTCCATCTTTATGAAGTTTCTCAATTCAATATCTGAATTTCCTGTGTTCATTTTGATGAAAATAAAAATTAATGACAGTATGAAGAAATATTTGATATGTTATATATATATATATATATATGATGTTAATTATTTGAGGGGGCTATTATACGTGCCGAGGCTATTATACGAGCCTCCAACCACTCCTAATGTGCCTAACAATTCGAGTACCACCTCCTTAAGGCTCACGTTGCCAGAGGGGATTCGAACCCCTGACCTGAGGGGTCTTATAACGAGGATGACAACCAACAGACTAGGGTACGCGGCACTGTATATATATATATATATATACACATACATACATACTAATTGAAACACACCTTTTTCATGCAAATGTTTTCATGTGATTACCACACTAAAGTGTTCTACAAGTAAATCTCAAAGTTTTGATGTTAAGTATCTAAACGCATAAGAATTTTATGTTAGTTGTGTAAATCTCAATAAAAACAAAGTGAAGGAGGAACATATGGAAACATGGAGGAAGAATAGGAGCCTAACACATAGATGCATATGATGGATAAATCCAACTTTCTATTCTACAAAATGCAAAGATTCTCTGAAAGAAAATCTGAATTTATCTTAAGCCATTTTTTGCCTTTAAAATTTTGTATTGTACATTCATAAAATAAAAACAGAAACTCTAAAATATCAACACTTTGCATCTTTTCACTAGTAATAGTTAATTTCAACATTTATGATAGTTGAAGCACTATATATTTTTAACTAAATGTTTCTATATAGGCTGTGTTGAAATTGCTGGTTGTCTCAAAGGTGAAGAGCTAGACAAGTGGGAAGAAGTTCCTAAATCGGTAGGTCTAATCATCCAATGTGATCATTTCTTTTATTATAAGCACACGATTCTTATGTATTTATATATCTTTATATATCTCGTAAACTTTCATATTTACACATAGCACTCAAATCTTTACTATTACGTAATAAATAACATTGTTATCACTTTTTAAAATTGAAATACACCTCTTCATGCATACAGTAAAGCACCGCAGTGTTATGCATGTACATATGAAAATTTAGATGTTAGAAACGTAAATATTTAAGAATTATGTGCTGCGTTTGTAAATTTCTCTTATTATTATTATAAAAAATTTTCTACTTAGATTTGTTGTTTTCTTTCATGAGCTAATAATCTTCATCTATTGTTTACAGGTGAGATGCGAAGCCCTTACTGACTTCTGTTGGCTCTGTGAAAATCCAAAGGTATGTTTTGTTTGAAATTCTTCAATTTTTTGAAGGTTTGAAGCAAATGATTTTCCTTTTTATCTATGTTCATCTTCGCTCTTTTATACTCGCTTGCAGAAATTAATAGTTCCCTTCGAAATGCGAGGCTATCAAAGAGTATATAACCTCGAAAACAAGGTATTAACATAAAGTTGGATTTACATTCATATCATAAAATTCTTTTGTATTTGTATATCTGACACCTATATGTCTATATTTACTTATTATAACATCCTGGCATCCAATTCATATCAAAACATATTCATCAAAACGGCGCGTTTCATGTTTAAGATAAGCTAGTGTTAGTGATCATTTTCAGGCATTTAGTCACCACCCAATTCTTATGTATTTGCATATCTACCGCCCAAACTTTACTTTTTACGTCAATGCCGTCCAAATCTCCCGATCATAATGTAAAAATTGAAGTTTCGATATTAGATATGTAAATACATAGAAATTTAGTGGTATGCATGTAAATCTTCCTAATTTTTTATTTGATTTAGAATTTTAGTATTATATATGCAAATATGTAAATCTCAGAAACTTAAATCCTTTTGCTTCTTTTATTATATCTAATTTTTTTCATAATATAAATCTCCCAGATCTTTGAGGCTGCAGTAAGAGGTCTCACTCCATCTAAAGGCCCTCTTCCAGTCAAGTTTCCATTGCCTTATCCTCAAAATCCTCCCTTGTCACCAAACAGTTCCAAAGCTTCCAAAGTGGAGAAGACGAAAACTGTCGCCGCAGCTGTAGCCGGTGCTCGTGCTGCGGCGGCTCAGTTCTTGAGGAAAGACGAGAGCAGAAGTCTCGTTAAAGAACTACAGCACGAAACCACGAAGAAAGAAGTGCCGAGTTCCGAGAGAAATCTGATTAGTGTTGGAATGGTAGATGCTGGAAATTGTCGACCAGGGCCTAGAATTTTAACCCCAAATGGATCAGCTAAGGTCAGTCCTGTTGTTTCTTCTTAGTTTCATGGGGCCTTTACATAAATTCCATTCAATTCCTATGAATTTACATATCTGACATCTGAGATTTACCTTTTACAGTCATACAACCTAATATTTTCATGGCACATAAAAAAAAATACCACTATTTTGAATTTTTAAAAGTGAAATATAACTTTTTTATGCATATAGATAAGGTGGCATGTATTTAGAAATTGAATGATTTTGATTTTCAGCTCTTTTCTGATGCGTTGAGAGGGGTGCTTCTGAAACAGTGATACTTTTGTAAGAGAAATTCCAGCTCAGTTAAAAGACTTTACAGGGTCTGTGCTGTAATTTTTTTTTTTTTAGCTACTTTTGTAATGTTTTTAAGCAATTCTTCTGGGTAGATTGATCAGTTTGTATAGAATTTGAAAATATCTTTAGTAGCTGTTTAAGGGTCCGTTTGGGGCCGTACTGTTTGGTTCGCGCGTTTCATCAGCTTATTCGAAACTGCTTTTTGGTTTTTACACTGCATTTCAGGATAAACAGCTTATCCTAAAACGCACAAGCTGCCCCAAACAGACCCTAAGTGTTTGGTGATGGTCAAAATCTGTATAGAATTGTGATATTATTCAGTTTGGTGTTTTTCTTGTGAATTTATGGCTTTGATTTTATGTTTTAGAGGCAATGGATTGTTTTGCTCTATTTCCATGTAGAATGGAACGACCGTTATACATTTTATTTTTTGAAAAGGTAATTATAAAATAAAATATATTTGTTTATTTATTTAATTTTTTTTAAATAAATGGATTATGTAATTATAGGAATAAAAATAAGATTTAGATTTTCTTTTTTAAGGGAATGGCGAGTTATGTCATAAAGTACTTGTTTCAAGGTCAGAAATATTTGATCCTTTTAACTTTAGCTGTTTTAAACTGTCACTCTTTGCTTGGTATATATGTATATAATTGGAATAATTTATTTTATAACATATAGAAATTATGTGATGGAATTATTTTTAGTATTTATAAATTTTAGTTTGTATGAATTTTAATCACATAAAATATTAAATTTTCACATAAAATTAAAAAAATTAAATCTGAATCAGAATAATAAAAGTTTATTTTGGCTTGAATAGTTTTTTAATTGACTTGATGGATAAAATTAATTCTTTAGACATTCGAATTAAGAGAAAATATTACATGCGAATAGGGCTTTTAAAGCAGTTCGTTGTTTGCAAACAACTCGTGTTTGACTCGTTAAGAAGCTCGTGTTTGATTTGTTTGCTAAGTTAACGAGCCGAACTTGAACACTTTTTTGTGCTCAATATATAAAAGAGCCAACACGAACAAAGATTTGTTTCTTTATGTTCGGCTCGTTTGGCTCGAAATACTAGGCATCAATTGGTGTATTTTTTAAAATTTGATTTTAACTTCGGTGGAGTGTGTATGAGTGTAATATTGATAATTGTGATGTGGGTGTGTATGCTTATGTGAACTATGGTGGTGATGTAGTATGTGTGAATATGCTTGTGGTGTAATATGGGCGAGATCTATAAGTTACGAAGGGTTTCCGTAAGGCATCCTCCATTCTTATAAGAACTCATCTTGAGTTTCAATGTGTTGGTCCTAATCAACTCAACTAAGTGTTGATGACTTAAGACCACACACATGAGATTACAAAAAGCCAACAAGTTGTTTGAATTTTTAATCTGGGTTGGTCTCATCACTAGTCTTCTAGGAGAGTCAATAGGAAGATCATATAGCTAGATCTTGAATTTTAGAGAAAAGAAGAGGCCTCACCAAAATGAGGCAACACGCCCCAAAGATTCGAAGGGAGAATGTGTTCTTTAGCTGGCGTGGCACCTTAGTATTCTCGACGTGTTATCTTTTCAACTGTGAAGACCCTGTGTTGTCCTAGTACTGTGAGTTGTCGGCCCCCTCCGGGTCGTGGTACGCTCTTATACATATGCGTGTTGACACCACCTCGTACGGTTGGTTTGTCTTTTATGGGGGTCAGATTTCCTGTCAGGGCTGAGATGGCCTTCAAGACTTCAACGATCTAACCCGACACCTGTTCTATAATTTGGGTCCCCATCTATTGCATTCCTTGATGTCCTCCCGTGGGGGATTCACGTTAGCTACTACTCTTTGTTTGCTCTCTTCTCTCTGTGATTGTTGTGCCCCTCTTCTTGTCGACGAAATGGCTCCGCGCTCACCACATCTTTTAGGATAAATCTGTTCGGGAGGCCTGCCTAAGAAGTAGAGCACTGGAAGGATGATAAAGAGAGAGGAGAGAGCAATAGCACAGTTATGAATGGTAAATTTGTGTAACCTTTATTCATGAAATAGACCTCTTATTTATAAGAATGAGTCTTTATACATTTACACATTATACCCTTAAAGTATGTAGGTACGACAGGGGTATTCTAATTCATACATAAGTTAGACCCGTGGGGCTTATAGATGTGACCAATCGGCTGTCTTTTGGTAGGATGGCTCTAAGGCCAAGCAGGCGCATACCGAGTGGACGATTGTGTGGTTGGGTGGTCATAAGGTTGGGCGACTACGTGTCAGGGTGACTCCTATGTTGGGAAACCATTTGTCGAAAGTCCACATTGATCGTCCTTGAGTTGGAGGAACCGTTTCTTCTTCTCGATCTATATGAGTTAGAAAGCAATCAATTTTATAGGATGGATCTGATCGACTCGATCCTTTAGGGTTGATTCATCTCTCATCCATTTGAGGTGCACCGTTTTTACAATATAAGAATTGGTTGGTTGAGCATGTAATCCTGGATCTTCCTTGATAGGCCCCACGAAACCATATCACCTCTCGTGTCGTCCGTGAGATGATTTTTCAATTTGTGCTGACACATTTTTGACGTTGCTCAAAAAGGGTGAATAACATTAGTAAGAAGAACTTTAAGCATATCAACAAAAAAGTTTACAATAATTTTATCAATGGTATTGCAAAAGGATATAAACCTGAAATCATTAAGGGTTTTAGTACCAAATTTCTTAGGAATAAGAGTAATAGTAGAATTCTTAACTATATGAGTAGTTTAGAAGTTCTAAAAAAATAGTTATAGCTTTAATATAATCAACACAAACAATATGCTAAGCATCTTTAAAGAACATAGAAGAAAGCCATAAGTGGCCAAGAGATTTATTACTCTCGATATCATAGAAAACATTCTTAATATCATCATCTAAGAAATCTTTTATTAAAGTTATCAAATCACAACTAGTGACAAAATTATTCACAAGGAAATGATCAACAAAAGCATACAAATCCTCAGTTTGACTATTGAAAATATCATTAAAAAAAGAAATGACCTGTCACTTTGAACTAAGTAGATCAGGCAAACTGACAACCCTCGGATGACGGAAAACCATGAGCTTCTTAATCGTGTTGTCATAAATAATGTCGATTATAAATAAAAATCAATTTTATAAGACAATTAGGGGATTTAAGACAATTAGAAGGATCATAAGCAAAAGTCGAATATACTTTATAAAGGATCAATTTTCATTCATAAACAAAATACTGCACAATGACCAGATTTTTTACAACAAAATTTGTATATGTATGTATGTATATATATGTGTATGTATATGTATGTATGTATATATATGTGTATGTATATGTATGTATATATATATATGTGTATGTATATGTATGTATATATATGTGTGTATGTATATGTATGTATATATATCTATAGATATATATGTGTATGTATATCTATGTATAGATACATATGTGTATGTATATCTATGTATAGATACATATGTGTATGTATATCTATGTATAGATACATATGTGTATGTATATCTATGTATACACATACATATGTGTATGTATATGTATGTATACACATACATATGTGTATGTATATGTATGTATACACATACATATGTGTATGTATATGTATGTATACACATACATATGTGTATGTATATGTATGTATACACATACATATGTGTATGTATATGTATGTATACACATACATATGTGTATGTATATGTATGTATACACATACATATGTGTATGTATATGTATGTATACACATACATATGTGTATGTATATGTATGTATACACATACATATGTGTATGTATATGTATGTATACACATACATATGTGTATGTATATGTATGTATACACATACATATGTGTATGTATATGTATGTATACACATACATATGTGTATGTATATGTATGTATACACATACATATGTGTATGTATATGTATGTATACACATACATATGTGTATGTATATGTATGTATACACATACATATGTGTATGTATATGTATGTATACACATACATATGTGTATGTATATGTATGTATACACATACATATGTGTATGTATATGTATGTATACACATACATATGTGTATGTATATGTATGTATACATACATATATCTACATACATATATATATACTTTGTTCGCGAATACGTCATGTTTGACTTGTTAAGCAGCTTGTGTTCGCCTCGTTATACTAGATATATATATATACATACATACATATATATA